TTCCGCCACTCCTCTGCCGAAAACACAGAGCCCCGCCCAAATAGCAAGAGAGGCTCTATCTTTAAACGCCTAAAAGGCATTGACCTCGGGCTCACCCCTTGATACCGACCCTTTCATCCAATCATCATCACATTCATTCACCCGCCTTGAAATATCATCCAATTGTAACATTCATTCCACAACCATCTTGTACCCATACTCACGCAGGCTTCGAGAAATATCACGCATATGGATATGTAAGCTATGATGTAGATAATAGAAATACACGTTAAAGTATAATGCACGTCAAGGAATTAATCCATGAGCCCGCAGCAACGCTCCCCACCTAAGAGAACCCCTAAGTCAGCTTACGCAAGCAAACTAAAAAGGGAAATCACGCACTCTTCTTGTTGCATCTCAGTTTCTGCCAGCCGCCGCTTCAGTTGTCTAGGACTTTGTTAGAGCATGCGAATGCAACTTGGAACGTCACCTACGAATTTTCCTTCGTTAACACATTCCTGGCTTCTTTCGTTTTCCGCAGATCGGTGGACATGGATACCCACGCCTCATCATCCGGAAGATTGGCGTCGTTGTACATGCTGTCCAATTCCTCGTTGAAGGCCTACGGAAAAACGTCTCAAGGGAATTTAGAATGGCTGCCGAAGTTGCGTACCTCGTACATAATTTCCTTCTCTGCAGTCGCATCGGCGAGCAAGCTTTTTACCAGCTCGCACTGTCGCCGAGCGTTCTGAAGCTCGAGCCGCGTCTTTTCGAACTCCATTGATCTCTATTCAAAACCACAGGTGAGTAATGCGGAATGGATAGAAAGCCAGTGCATTACATCCTTGAGATCATCCGTCAGCTGTTGGATGCCGTTTTCCAAAGCTTCATGGTTGGACGAAGCCCGAAGCAGGCTTGCGTCAGCCTCTGACACCAAGGTGGTCAATGAGCGGTGGATATCGCCCGTCCGGCCTGAACCGGAAGCCCGCACTGGAGTATCCACCGTCGTGCTGAGGGGACGACTACGAGGGGTACCTTCGCCTTGTCGCTGGCCAATGAGCTGTCGCATCTCCTCCATTCGGTCAAGAGCAGCTTGTGTCTGAGAAGATTTTGATTAGAATTGGAATAGGGTTGGGGTCTCACGCGTCGTACCATCGGGGGCGCGCTGCGCTGGGGAGTGCGCATCGCCTTGCTAGGCGAAGCTGGCCGGACGATTTCGTCGCCGCACTCTGACCGGAGCCCATCAATCTCGAGTTTCATGCGTTTGACAGCTCGGTGAGACGATTCGACCTCGAGAACCATCAACATTTGGTCAGTGGAAGAGATATCAACATACATCCTCCTTCGTCGTCTTCGACAGCTGGACCAACCACTGGGGCGGTTCGTTCTTGGCGGCCGGACTCCGCATCGAGGCAGCTCTGACACTGCGCACCTGAGGTGAGACCTTGCGCGGAGAGCCGACAGTCCTTGCCCGCGATAATGGTGAGTTCCGCAGAGGCTTTCGCGAGGTTTCCGCTGTCGTTGGTGCCTCTGTGCCTCGCACTGAGGTTTTCTTCTTGATGGACAACGGTTCGACGCCGCTTGGAGTGGGAGCACTTGGAACGAGTGGTTTTGGGGTTGCATCTATATTGCCGGCAGGGAAGAAGGGTTGACGTTTACTCCGCGGGATGCCTGTAGCTCGAACAGGGACTGAGCGCTGGAGTCTTGCGGCATTTTCAAGAGCAAGCTCATCATCCATGGAAGGGAGGTCAGTCGTGGAAGCCTCTGGCGGTGGGCTCTTCGTTGGCGGAAGCGGGGAAGGGCTTCTGGGCCCCAACGGACGCCGCTCAGAAGAATGTTGCGACAAGGATCGGGATTGAGGTGGAGGGGATGCTATCGGAGCATTGGAGTTAGAGTCAGGTCGAGAGGTCGTACGACTAGTCGTGTCCCTGGAAGCACGCGAAAGCGGTCGTCGGGGTGGCTCGTCTACATCGAATAAGCTTTGGCGGCTTCAAATACAGTAAAGAGGTCTCATACCTTCGTATATTGTTTCTTCGGACGGGTTCTGCAAAGGAACTTGGGTGAACGCTTTGCCGTGTTGGTTCTTGCTATTCTTTCTTGCCAGCGCTAATTGCATGGCCAGATCCCGCTCGGTTGAATCTATATCCCGGACATGATCCTGGATGGTACCGTCGTCATCCTCAATGTCGCTGTAGTCAAACTGTGGGTCCCTGGAACTTGACCGAGATCTACTTCTAGAGCCAAATCTCGACACACTGCGACTTGGAGGCCGGCTCTCTGGTTCTGGGGTGCCACTGGGGGATCTACTCTTCCTGAGAACATTTCTGGACCTTGATCTCGACGATGACCTAGTACGGAATGAATCCTCGTCCATCGTCGTCGTGGTAGAGTTTGATCGATGAGAAAACTTAGTCAAACTTCCATCCCCGGTCGTGGTGGTTTGGGTATATACGGATGAGCGACTGGCTGTAGATTTGGTGCGTCTATGACTGTTCACCGACCCTCCAAAAAAGTCGCCCATGGAGGACCCCGGACGTGAATGGAAGAGGTTTCTGGAGATGGCGTCCAAGCCGAAGATAGCAGCCTTGGAACGAGCACTTGGCGTCGACGGCGCAGAGTTCCTCCCTGTCCGGAACTCGAACAACCCGAATTGGTGGACTAAACAATGTGAATAGCTCGTCAGCAAAATGGCCAAGAACTTACTAGTGAGCACGATCCGGGACGGCACCCGGGTGGTCTGCACAATATCCTCTTCCCCCGGGTCAGATGGGTCACTTGAAGAGACTTTATAGCGACAGACGCCGCCTGCGAGAGGCTGCAATCGAATGACACCAAACGGTGGTGTTCCCACGCCAAAAGGAATCTTGTCCGCTGAACCCAAGGCATCAATATGCACCACGATCTTGGTCTATGAAATGCCTCATCAGGAGACTTTTCTCGAATTGACAAGGTCGCTTACCTTTTTTGGTTCTTGAAGAAAAGCCGTTCGTTGGTAAACATTGTAATACGTACGGGCCACGGTGACCCGACCACTCTTGGCCTCCACTTCCATCTCCTCTGCGCGAAGAACGACCGACTGCCCGGACCGCGCCCTGTAGGCAGCCTGGACCTTCCAAAGATTCTCCAGGAACCTTTGCTTGTCCGACTCGGTTTGTACGGGATTCAGGTTGATGGGCGCAGGCGGCTGAACCACAGCCAGGGATCGGAAAGCGCGACCGGACCACCGCTCATTCTGGTCGAGAGGTGGATTCTCCAAGTACAAATTGATGTCTAACGTGTCAGGTTGAGTCCCATTCGTATTGAGATACCGGAAGAACGCACCAGCGCCACCAATGTCCGTAGCGACCACCTCAGTCACATCAACCACTCCTTTGCAAGTCATTCCACTCTTTTTCTTGCCACTAGGCCGCCCTCCTGCCTTGGTCAATTTGTCGAGTTCGTCGAGGCCTGAGAGAGTGCGGCCGCCCTTTTCGCCATTTCCGGGGCGTTTGACGATGAGAAGCTTATCGTCAAAAAGGAACAGGGTGCAATGAAGTGACCCGCCGGAAGAACTATTAACAGATGCAGCCGAAGAGGTTGGCGCGTCTGAAACAATGTCTTCGACGTCGATACAGTCAATGAAGCGCCGCGAGTTGGAAAACAGGTCGGGTGGAAAACCATCGATAGTTGCGCTAAGGCAATAAAATATAGCGGCTCGTTTGGTTTCCTCATCCGGTTCTGCCAACGCAATCTTGCTGGCAAGCTCATCCGCCTCGACCAATTTGGCACGTTGCGGATCATCGAGAGCCATGTGTTTGATCATCCTCTGAAATATGATAGTGTACTGAGGGATCCGTTGGACCGGATTTATGAGAAGTTCACGAAGGCCGACGCGATTTTTCGAATCCGAAGCTTGGTATTTGATCCGCTATAAAAGTAAGTGAATGAGAGAGCTGAGCCGAGGAGCAGAGTTTGGGGACGCACGTCGATATAGGCAGCGAATGGTGATGACTTTCTCGACATCTCCCGCTCAAAAATCAGCTGGGCATCCTCGCGTTTGACGTAGTATTGTTTGTACAGCTCAAAGCCCCGCAGCTCCTTGAAGTGGCGAAGTGCAACGTCCCCTACGCCGCCGACGACCTTTGTACCATTGGGAGTCAGCATCTTCTCCAAATCCGCAAGGAAGGCTTCGTTGACGGGGAGGAGGTTATCCACGTTCCCAAAGAGGGTCTTGGCCTCGTAGGCAGGGATAATGGATGTGTTTTTACTTCTGGCGAAGTTGCGTAAAGGGTCCGCGTAGTCGTTCTTTAACGACCGCAGACGCTTCACATATTTCCGTTCCGTGTCCACCAACTCATTGATGGCGGAGGCAAGTGTTGAGGAATCCGTAAGAGCTCGTTTCCTTTGGCCCGCGCGGTCCTGCGGATAGAAGTCAGAACCAGGTGTTATGAACGAGATAATAAATGATTAGCATGGTACGATCTGGCAAGAACCTGCAGCTGGGTCTGGATCCGACGCAAGCTCCGGATGCAGTGCTAATAGGAAGAGAGACTTACAGGGCCGTCTGTTTCAGGATCCAGCGGAGACGAGAGAATGCTGGTGTCTGAACCGGAGACCACCGTGTCTCCCAAGGATAGGACAAGTTCCTGGATATCTGAAACGAAAGTTAGTGGACGGAGGCCTGTACATTCTGGAATTCGCGCCTTCAGGAAGTCTTCTCCCATTCTCGGACCCTTCTACTACAACTCCACAAAAGAAAACGCGTTTCGTGAGACCTGGTGCAGACGACTCGCATCGAGATCGCGTCTCATCGCCGGTCGAGAGAGGGATGACTTTTCGCGGGGATGTGCTGAGGGCCATATCGATGGGCCACAGGGGCGGGGAGTTAGTAGGAGTATAACAAGAGTATAAGCCTCTTTGAATCGAATGAAGTTACTTAGAAAGATTCAACAGGCAAGGGTCGCGATCACGTGGCCGATCGCTTGGCTCAGCATCAACTTGGTAGTTACCATGCTAGCTAAAGGGAAGCCGCAGAGCGGTTGGTCCGCGTCGCTTAGTGGTTATGGCGTCGCATTGTGGTCGGTTGACTTGTTGGATTCGTAATCCTCTTGTATCGCGGAGACCTGCGGAGACGGGTGTTCGATTCACCCCGCGGACACCTCATTTTTTTTTCTTGCTCGGGCAGAGCGATGGAGTTGCAATTTTGAGATGATGTGATCGGTGAGTCGAGTGTTCGAACCCCAGATCGGGTTGCAAAATTTTGCCCTTTTGTCACGTCGACTCATGCAGTCGGAGTCGGTGTAGATTTTGACTCGTGTATGGCAGCTATAGTCAACACCATAAAGACGGCAGCATCCATTGGCTATCGAAGAGCAACATTGGTGTGTTCGCCAACGCATCCAAATACCGTTTGTTGAACGAATTCGAAGAGCCTGGATCCCACGATGAGAGGAGCTTTCACTGATGTGCAATTGACTTTTCTGGGTACGGCCTCCGCCCAGCCCTCGACGACGCGAAACCATTCATCTCTCGCGCTACGACTGGGCTCCGATGTCTGGCTATTTGACTGTGGAGGTACGTCAGACGGTCTCGGTAGTGGAACCATTTTTTTGACCCCGCCATTTTACCAGAGGCAACCCAGCATCGGCTACAGCACAGTACAGTGAAAATGGGCAAGATAGAAAAGATATTCATCACCCATACGCACGGTGAGTATCGTGCATAACTCTTTTAACCATGAGACTTATTTTTTCAGGTGACCACATCTTTGGTCTCATTCCCCTCCTTGCGGGTCTCCTCAACGGCGCTGGCGGTGCAGCAGACGGTGCGGAGGATCCAAGGGATTATGTTCCCATAGATTTGGACAAACCTGTGAGGATGAATGACTCGCACCGTGATTCTAACAAAATGTAGGCGGTAGAGATTTACGGACCGCTTGGGACCCGCGCATACGTTCGCACAGGCCTGAAGTACACGCATTCCCTTCTGGGCTCCCCGTATGTGGTGCATGAACTACGGCTGCCCTGGGAGTCGCCAACCGGCGACCACACAGAGATGCCTCCGCATCGCGTAGAATCCCCGTCTGGCCGAAACATCCAGCAAGTGGACGGCGTGTGGCCGAACATATATCAGGATGCCAGAGTATCTGTCTCCGCTGCTCCCATTCTGCATTCTGTTCCTTGCGTCGGCTACGTGGTCTTGGAGGCTGATGTTCCCGGCAAGATCGACCCCAAAAAATATATCCCCGAGCTCAAGCGGACGAAGACTCCACTGACAATAATGAGTCATCTACAGCAGGGGGGGAGCATCGAGCTCAGCGACGGAACTATCCTCCACGGACCTCCCCGTCGACCCGGCCGGAAGGTCGTCGTTTTAGGTGATACTTACGACCCTTCGGCGATCGTCCCATTGGCTCTGAATGCAGACGTGGTGATTCACGAGGCGACCAACGCACATCTACCTGGCGTCGATCCCGCCACAAAAGACGACGAGACGTACGAAAGTGTCGAGGCCCGGACAAAATCCAGAGGACATTCAACGCCGCAGATGGCTGGCATCTTTGCAAAGCGAGTTGGAGCGCGGCGGCTCATCCTCAATCATTTCTCTGCCAGATACGCAGGGAACGATGATGTTGACGCGGAGGCAAGGACCGTCATGCAGGCGATTGGAGCACTGGCGGCTAAGGAATACGGCGGCGACGTAGTATGCGCTCGGGACTTCATGAGTGTCAATGTCGCTTTACCAGCACCATAATCCATTCAGTCGTCGTCGTCTGGAGGGTCTGACAATAAGCTGCTCGCATCACTGGCTTCACCTTCCTCCAGCTCTTCTTCCCTCTTCTTTTTACCCTTGTTCTTGAACTCGGGCTCCTCGACCTCCCCCATCTCGATATCACCCTCCCCGGCTTCTTCAGCTGGGACGACGGAATCGGGCACAGTCTCCTCCTCTCCTTCCTCCACCTCCACCTCCATCTTCTCCGGCACCGCTGTCCCGCCCTCGGTAGCGTTCGTCGGGGCGTCCGCCGTCTCAGGCGCAGGAGTGTCCTCGGGGGATTGGTCACTCGATACCGCAGCCTCCCTGTCCTTGCCCATAAATCTCAGTGACCCTAAATCTGCCACAATGTTGTCCAGGGCCGACTTCTGGGCCTGAATCGTCCGGTTTTGCGTGTCGTGTTCCGCGCGAATGGCGGCCATGTCGTTTTCGAGAGATTTAATAGTTCTGTAGTACATATTACTATATCATGAGTCCCCAAAGCACAGAAATACGCACTGCTCTAATTCCTCGCGGCTCGGAAGCGTATTGACCTTCTCCGCGACGAAATCGTACTCCATTTTCCGCCGCCGCAGCATCTGCTCGTGCTCGAGCCCTGTCTTGAGCTGCTCTATCTGACCGCGCAAGGTACCGTGTTCGTCGTCTGTGGGCAGTGAGGTAAGACTCCGCTGAACGAATGCGCCTACGCACTGATTCGGTCCTTTTCCCGCTGATACTCCTCGACCTGGCGCGCCTCCGCCTCGCATATCATGACGCTCTTCCGCAACATAAGCTGAAACGACGCCAGCTCCACCAAAAATGCCTCGCGCGCATCCTCGACGGAGGTTGAGGGGACCGGGGCCCCAGGCGCAGGCACCGGCGGGACTATCGGCGCGTGCGAGAGCGCGGTGTAGTTGTGGAACTTTTTTATCACGCGGCGGAGCGGCCGCTCGTCGTTCGTTATGCGCGCAAGGATGATCTGGTCTGAGCAGAGAGAGGTTATAGGCCACGCCACCTAAAACAACAAGTCTGGATTGACCTTCTTCTTCTGCGGACAGTGGCGGAACCACGATGGGTTGTTGGGCAGCCTGCGCATCTGAGGGAGGCATGGACGGCGAGGGGACCGCAGCTTGCGGTGTGGAAGCAAACTTGAATATGGCGGGCTTCAACCGGCCGAAGGTTTGGGCCAGAAAGCTCATGCCGAATTGAGTCAGTTCTGCCTGCGACAAATACTCGTCTCGTCCATCTGGTGTACATAGTAGAGAAATATACAGCAGGTACACTACATACATTTCTAGATGTATTTAATTTAGATTTAGATTAGCGATACATGGTTCAACCTCCCCACTCATCCAATACAAACGGTGTAACCAATTCGTAAGTGTCTTCGTTTCCGCCCTTCCCCTTTTTCGACTTGTCTTTCCGACCCCCACGTCCTATCACCCTCTTAAAGAGACGATCCACCCTGCTCCGTTCCCCATTGTCCCCGTTCGCCTCTGTTTCTGTGGGGTAACACGTCTCGACCATTTTTGCCAACTTGCGCATCCCGCTGCTACCGTCGCTCATGTGCCTGCGAGACTCCTCGAGCGCGGCCTGGAGATACATTGCCATGTTCGGGAAGGTGATGGGGAGCGCAGGGAACGGCACAGCATCACTAGATGGGATTGTGTAACACTTGGACAATGGCGAGTCTGAGCTATCCCGAAGTAGTGTTGGGACGCTCGAGAGTGTATACGACCACGGGAGAACGGAGACATCACCATTGGTATACTTCCGGGCCCCGGGCATGGATGTTGGAACGGGGTGGTCAATGGTGAACCAAAGCACAGTCCGCCAATCCGAGGAAGAATGGTGCGGCTACACTGAATGTTAATAGATGGAGCCTAAGGAAATTGCGAGCACGTACCCGAACGAATTGGACTACAGTTCGGAGGTGCATTTGGGGTGACCCCGTCACCGCCAGTGCCTCCACCGTCGGCTCAATTCTGGTTCCGCTCAGCCGGGCCATCAACTTGAGGAGATGTCGCCAACTCGGCGCTTGCAGATGCAGTGGTGGGCATCGGCCGTATGGTAACGATATTATATTCGGCATCGAGCCAGCCAGCGGCACGAGCTCTGGCGTTATTGATGGAGCAACAAATCCAATGGCTGTGGGAACTAGGATTGAGCGGGATGCAACGTGTAGTGTCGAAAGAACTTACAGACACCCATCAAAAGATCGGCGTCAATGAATTGGTTGGCACCTCCACCTGGTATTCTATCGTTTTCTTCGCTACGAAAGGACACTGAAGACGCAGGTCGGACATCCTCAGACGGCAAGCGGAAAGTCGCGGTATCTGCACTGGCGGGACGTTGTTGGGCATCTATGATGAGTATAGGACTTTCCTCCGAGTTGCTGACCCAGGTTAATTGAGACTCTCTATACCTCGAACCTTGAAGAGCCGGGGACTCGAGGTCGAGGGATGGAGATGACTTGGTGTCGAAGTAGGATGGAAGATCTGGAGGATCGTCCGGCGGCCTGTCGGCCTTGATTTCTCGCGCCAAGATCTCCTCCTCGACAGCCAGTTGCCGGGCGAGCTCCTCGTCGGACAATGGCGGCCTCTCGCCTACACCGCTTAATGGAGCGGGTCCCCGGCGCGGCGAATACGTTGGTAGATCGCCACCATCCGCCGCTGGAGCGACTGGACCCGTATCAGCAGCTGGGTCGGCTTTATCGGGGAGATCTGACTTGAGGGCTGGCGGAGAATTGACTACGAACGAAGTCTGTGTAGGCGTGGGATCCTCCCCCTCTTGCGCAGCGAGCAAGCGGGCAAAAGCGGCATCGTCCATGTAGTCCATGGTCGGGAAGTCGGATGTGGACGGCGTCAACAGCTGGGAGGATGACGAGCCTGCTGCAGTCGTGTGAATCCCCAAGGAAGACGAGTAGGAATTTGCCCATGAATTGGGAGACATAGAGGCCTCCATCGCGCGTGCGAGATCGGCCTCCTCCTGGCTGAGCATTTTCTGTTGCAGTTTCTCTTGCCGCAGAGTTTCCGCCTGCGACAACGCAAGCACCGCAGCGAGTTCGGCGAGCTCGGCATCGTCCTCCTCCCGCGAATTTTCGACCGGCGGCGGCTGCGGTTCTGGTTCGGCTTCCGCCTCCGATTCACTCACGGGTTGAGGAGGTAAATGCGGTTCGCTGGCGGGTCGGGGCGGGCGTTGTGGTGGTTTTGTATCGACTGGGACTCTTGGTGATGGGGATTCATAACGGTACGGATGTGGGGGAACCGGTGGTGGGGCCGTACGGGCCCGACGCAAATTAGGTGAAACGTAGTCTTCAGGGTATGGCAGACGAGGGGGTATAGTATCCGATGGCAGAGGTGGTGGAGGTATTGGCGCGCCCGGCGCTTCCATGAATAAGATATCGGC